GCCTAGCAGGACCCCCCCTGCTCCTTCCTCTCCCTCCCCCCTCGCCCTGCCCCTCCCCTCACTCCCCTCCCAGCCCTGAGTGCTGGGTAAAGGCAGGGAGCCCATGGGCACAGAGTGGCGGCCGGCCCTGTGGTGGGCTGTGTGGCAGTGCCAGGCTGATGCTAAACGGGGGTGTGCCCACTCGGGTGCCCGCGGGGAGAGTGGCAGGTCTGTCGGTGACATCTGGAGAAGCGCAAGGCTGATGGCGATGGGGTCTCCAGGCCCCACAGCCAGGGGCCAGGCCCTGGGCCACTGTCTCCTTAGCCTCACAAAGCTCTGTCTCCCTTCCCGCCCGCCGTGTGGAGGCTGAGGCCCCGGCCCGGGTGGCGGGCGGGCGGGTTGGGTGGGGGTAGGAGGCGGAGCAGGGGTGGAAGGTCAGCTCCATGCCTCCCTCCGCCATCACTCCCTTCCCAGGTGGGCTTCATCAACAGCCTCAAGTTCTCCAGCGCCGGGGACTTCCTGGTGGCCGGGGTGGGGCAGGAGCACAGGTAGGGGCACCCCTGGAGGTGGGGCGGGGGGACGGGCGGGACTGGGCTGTCCGGCCTCAGCTGCTCCCTCCCCGCAGGCTGGGTCGCTGGTGGCGGATCAGAGAGGCTCGGAACTCCGTGTGCATCATCCCCCTGCGGAGGGCTCCCCGGCCCCCGGCCGCCGGCTCCTGACCCCTGACCGGCCCTATTTAAGCCCTCCCGCCCCGCCCGCCCCCTCCGGTATTAAACGTCTCCTCTTTTGGGCCTCGTCTCCTGCAGCTTCTTGCTGGGGGGGAGGGGTGGCAGGGCCTGGGGAGGGCCCCCGCAATCTGTCTGCCCTGCCGGCTGGGGGCTGCCTGTCCCCCACCGGGAACCTGCGGACGGAGCCCTCGGCGCTCCTGGGCCCGGTCCCGCACACCCTCCCGACCTCGCTCTGTCCAGGCGAGTGTCAGGCGGGCGGGGGGTCTGAGGAGTGAAGCCGGGCCTCCTAGCCAGGCTGACCCCCCTCCGGCCAGACCGCCCAGGGAGGGCGACCCTGCGCGTGCTGCCCGGGCCCCGGGCAGGGAGGGGGTGCCTCCAGGAGCCGCCCAGCGGTGACCCTGCGTGGGTGTCCGGAGTGTCGGCTCAGGCCCTGATGTCACCCAGTGTGGCCGACAGCTGGAGGTGCAGGCGGCACTGACGTCCCCTCGGGGGGACGAGAAGGAGTGTTGGGGATCCCTTTATGGGGGTGTGTGTGGACCACGTGGCTCCCCTCCTGCCCTCCCACCTGCCCCTGCCCCAGGCCCCTAGGCCGGGGGTCTGGCTCAGACTGAGGCCTGAGAACTGAGTTGATCAGGGGTGCCGATGGGATTCACTCCCGTGTCCTGCCTCAGTGACAAACTTAACCTCCCAAGTGACACGCCAGCAACACGAAGTCCCTGACATGTGAACCGTTTCCCATCGGCACACCCCCAGGGAGTCATTAAAGCGGGAAGTGAATGCCCTTGGCATTGAAACATCGTAATTTCTCCTCCGGCCTCCACTGTGGTCAGCTGAGGCTGTCCTGCTGGAGTTGGGCTTATTGATTTCAGAGAAGAGAGAGAAAGAAATAGTGATGAGAGGAAATCATTGATCAGCTGCCTCCTGCGTGCACAAAGCTGGGGATCAAGCCCGCAGCCGGGTCATGTGTCCTGACTAGGAATCTAACTGTGACCTCCTGGTTCATGGGTTGACGCTCAACCACTGAGCCACACTGGCTGGGTTCTTGTTTTGTTTTTTTTAAGTGTTTTTATTTCAGCTTCATCTAAAAAAAAATCAAGCCCTAACCAGTTTGGCTCAGTGGCTAGAGCGTCGGCCTGTGGATTCAAGAGTCCCAGGTTCCATTCTGGTCCTGTGTGTGTGTGTGTGTGTGTGTGTGTGTGTGTGTGCGCGCGCGTGCGCAAAAGGCAGCTGATCGATATTTCTCTCATCAATGTTTCTCACTCTCTATCCCTCTCTCTTCCTCTCTGTAAAAAAATCAATAAAAAATATTTTTAAAAAAATCAAGGTATAACATGTATAGTTGAATGAAGAAATTTTAAATGGGCAGTTAACCGAGCTCTGACAAATGGATATATCCCAGTCCACCTCATCGGCATACAGAACATGACGCTCTTCCCGGAAAGTTTCTTCACGTCTTTTTCTAATGAATCTCAACTCTCAGAGGCAAGCGCTGTGCTTTCCATCACTGTCAGCTGTGCATGTTTTAAAACTTCCTCCAAATGGCATTAAACTATGTTCTGTTTTGGTCTGGCTTTCCTTGCTCAGCATGACGACGGTAAGATATACCCAGGGCACACCTAAAACTAATATAAAATATTGAGTAAACCGTAGTGGGAAAAGAAAGATACATCCATGCCAGTGCATGTGTCATTAGTTAGTTCTTTGCTTTTTACTGTTTTAGAAGTATACCAACACGTCACAGTGGGCATGGGACTCGTTTCCAGTATTGGGCTTTTATGATTCTAACACGACGAGCATTCCAGTGTTCCCGCACGCTCCTGGGAGCACATCATTTCTCCCGCGTAAATCCCGCCTGGGAGTGAGGGGCGGAGCCATCAGTGGGCGAAGGCATGGGCTTCCTGTTATCAGGATCAGTAACACTGACTGCCAGACTGGTGGCTTCATCTTGTCATGTTTTCCTTGGTGCTTAAGCCATCTTTAATGGGTGTGCTGTGGGGTCCCACTGTGGTTTACATGCTGCCTTTCCCTCATATAAGTCAGGGTGTTGGGCGATTGTCCATGTGTTCGTGGCCATTTGAAGGTCTTCCATGAAGTACGGGTTGAAGCCTTTTGACCGTTTTTATTGGGTTGCTTATTATTGCGTTGTAGAATGTCCTATGTTCTGGTTTCCAGTCATTTGTCAGACAGGTGTGTGGAAGCTCTTTTCCCAAGCTGTGGCTGGGAAGAGTGAGCAGGCAGTTTAATTGGGACAAAGCCAGTCTCTCAGTACTTAGAGTCTGCTCCATCCTGTCTTTGCCGAGCCCAGGGTCACAAAGGATTCCCATGCTTCTATGAGCTTTATTGTTTTAGCTTCAGTTTTCCTTCAGGCCTGTGATAGATCTTCAATTAAAAAAAATTTTTTTTGTCTATATTAGATAAGGGTCAAGATGTTTTTTCCCCATCAAAAAATGCATTTCCTGCCAAGACCGGTTTGGTTCAATGGATAAAGCGTCGGCTTGGGGACTGAAGGGCTCCGGGTTCTATTCTGGTCAAGGGCATGTACCTTGGTTGCGGGCACATCCCCAGTAGGGAGTGTGCAAGAGGCAGCTGATCGATGATTCTCTCTCATTGATGTTTCTAACTCTCTGTCTCTCTCCCTCTCTGTACAAAATCAATAAAATATATAAAAAAAAAGAAAAATGCATTTCCTTTCTGCATGGAGTTATCTTGGTACATTAAAAAAATCAATAGATTAAATGTGAGTGTTTCTGGTTTCTCCATTCTGTCTCATTGATCTGTTTGTCTCTTCTTACACACTAGAACCAGTAAACCATTGTCTTGAAATCAGATGATGTAAATCTTTAACTTTGCACTTGTATATCAAGAATTTGCAGCCAAAACTGGTTTGGCTCAGAGGATAGAGTGTTGGCCTGAGGACCAAAAGGTCCCAGGTTCGATTCCAGTCAAGAGCATGTACCTTGATTGTGGGCACATCCCAGTTGGGGGTGTGCAGGAGGCAGCTGATCGGTGTTTCTCATAGATGTTTCTAATTCTCTATCCCTCTCTCTTTCTCTCTGTAAAAAAAAATATATATATATATATTTAAAAATTTTGCAGAATGACTGGTCACTATGATGTCCACTGCAGCCAGCGAACCCCCCAGATCAGGGGGTGGGGCTGGAGGCTAACCTCTCAAGGCCCCTCCTCCTGGCTGGCCACCCCCTCTCCTTTTGGCCCTTCCCTCTGCCGGCCTCACCTCCAATTGGCCCGCAGTCCCTCCCGCAGCCAGCTCTGCCCTTGATTGCCCTCTGGGGACTGGCTGGCTATCAACCTCCTGCAGCCCCCTCCCGTGGCTGGCTCCACCCCTGATGGGCCCCCACCAACCTGCTCAGCCCACAGCCCTTCCCATGTCCGGCCCTGCCCCCAGTCAGACCCTCCACCCCAATCGGGGATGGGGCCTTCCAGCCAATTGCCCTAGGCTCCTCTCCCCAGCCAGTCTGGCCCCAGTGGGGGCTGATTGGGACAGGTCCGCAGGCCTATCACCCGGCTCTGATCCGCGCCATTTGAGGCTGGGCTGGCCAGACCCCACCCGGCACAAATTTGTGCACTGGGCCTCTAGTATAATTATGTATCTTGATGGCTTTATTTACTCAAATGGGGTCATAAAGATCTTCAACTTTTTCACTTATAAATGCATCTTGAGCTCGGCTAGCGTGGCTCAGTGCTTGATTATCGACCTATGAACCAGGAGGTCATGGTTCGATTCCTGGTCAGGGCACATGCCCGGGTTGTGGGCTAGATCCCCAGTTTGGGGCGTGCTAGAGGCAGCCCATCAATGATTCTCATCTTTGATGTTTTTATCTCTCCCTCTCCCTCCTCTCTGAAATCAATAAAAATAAAATGTATTTTTTAAAGATGCATCTTGGATATTCTTCTCATCAGTACATGTAGATCAAGTTCATTATTTTCTAACAGCTGCATCGTATTCTACAGTAGTATGGCCGGACTGTAAACCATTCAGTCAGTCCCCCGTTTTACCAACTGGGGATACAGCAGTGATGGGTACCTCACCCTTTACGGCAGATGGGCCGGCTCTCCTGGTGCCTGGCTTTTGGAGTCCGGGCTTGGCAGAAGAGAAAGGAGAGACCTGTGTCTCCTCCTCCGAGGGGGCCAGCATCGGGAGCCGTCCTGGCTCCTGAGTCACAGCTCCCTTGTGACATCACAGGTCTCCCCCCTCTCTTTCCCCAGCCCGCGGCTAGAGAGTAACAGACCAGAGGGGATTTGAACCATCTACACCCAACCCATGTGGGGCCCATGGTAAGAGACAGGCGCAGGCTTTAGGGCGGTCCCCCAGGATGAGGGGTCGCCTGACATCCGAGGACACTGGGAGCCTGGAGCCGGGGCTGGGGGTGAAGGGAAACATGCTGATTGCAGGAGGTGGACCCGCCGGAGACCATGGACCAGCGCGCTGAGGACAAGCCTCAGCTGCTGGGGGAGCCGCCGGGCTCGCCCCCATCGCCGCCGGCCCTAGAGGAGATGGAGGCGAAGGCCGAGGCGGCGCAGGTAGGCCCCTGCGGCCGGTGTCCTGCGGCCCCGAGCTGAGGACAGGGACAGACTCCCCCTCTGTCCTCCGCTGCTTTTCCAGGCTAACATTGAGGACGCGGTTGAGGCAGAGAAAGTGGACAAGGCTCCTGAAAAGCCCAGAGAAGTATGGCTCCTCCAGCCCGCCGGGCAGGGCGGGGTGGGCGGCAAACGGGCGGCCCCGGCAGGAGCTGGGCCTGCGGGGGTTGTGGCCTGTGTGCGTGTGTGTGTGTGTGTGTGTGTGTGTGTGTGCGTGTGTGTGTGTGTGTGTGTGCCCCCGCGCGCTAGGAGGAGGTGGGGAGGTGAGGGGGAGGGTGAGGAGGAGGTGAGGGTGAGGAGGAGGTGAGGGGTGAGGAGGAGGTGGGGGGGAAGAGGAGTGAGGGTGAGGAGGAGGTGAGGAGGAGGAGGTGGGGAGGTGGGCCTGCAGACGAGTCAAACTGGCTGTGGCGGGGGATGGAGGAAACTTTTGTTTTGGTTAACCTTCACCTGAGGGTGCTTTCCCATGGCTGCTCAGAGCGTGGAAGGAAGGGAGGGATAGAGGGAGAGAGAGAGAGAGAGAGAGAGAGAGAGAGAGAGAGAGAGAGAGAGAGAGAGAGGTATCACTGGTTGTTTTTAGCACATGCCCCGACCAGGGCAGGGAGCAAATCCACAATCCAGGTACGTGCCCTTGACTGGGAATCGAACCCGTCACCCTTCGGTGCACAGGCCAATGCTCTAACCACTGAGGCCCGCTGGCCAGGACTGGAGGAAACTTAATCCCGTGGCATGCAGGGGAAGAGAGCATGCCGTGGACTGGAGTTTGGGTCAAAGACAAAAGGGCAGAATTAGCCAAAGATGCCGCTTCTGCAGGAGGGGGTGGTCCCAGGTCCTGGGTCCGGGCAGGTAAACACGGTAACCCTTTGGCCGACAGCGCGTGGTGCTCTTGCCCTCGGCTGGCCGAGATTCATGTAAAACTGGCTCAGTGGATAGAGCATCAGCCTGCAGGCTGAAAGGTCCCAGGTTCGATTCCGGTCAAGGGCATGTACCTTGGTTGCGGGCACATCCCCAGTGGGGGATGTGCAGGAGGCAGCTGATCGGAGTTTCTCTCTCATGGATGTTTCTAGCTCTCTTATCCCTCTCCCTTCCTCTCTGTAAAAAATCAATAAAATGTATATTTAAAAAAAAAAAAATACTGGCCGCCAGGGCAGGTGTGACCCCATTTTATGGATGGGGACCCTGAGGCCCAGTGGTCAGAGTGTCCATGTCCCTTTGCCAGGGAGGGACGGGACAGGACACCTGCTTGGCTCTGGTTCAGCCAGAGCTTCTGAGGCCGGGAAGGAGGGGTGATTATTCACAGGGAGTCTGGGTCCCTTCGTGCATGGGGGGGACCCTGCTCTGAGCGGCCTCTCTCTTTCTTTTCTTGCAAGCTCGCAGTGCCCCCGAGGCGGCCGCCCCCCAGCGACCCGGAGGTGGTGCGGATCCAGGCGTGGTGGCGCGGCATCCTGGTGCGGCGCTCGCTGCTGTTCGCCGCGCTGGGCGCGCTCACCATCCAGCGCTGGTGGAAGCGGGCCCGCCTGCGGGCGCTGGAGGCCCGGCGGCGAGCCGTGCTGGAGGCCTTCACCCGCAAGGAGTGGGCGGCCGTGCGGCTGCAGGCCTGGGTCCGCATGTGGCGCACCCGCCTGCGCTACTGCCGCCTGCTGCACGCCGCCCGCATCATCCAGGCCTACTGGCGCTGCCGGGCCTGCGGCGCCCGCGGCTTCATCAAGGGCCACTACCGGGTCTCCGCCAACCAGCTGCACCTGGAGCTGGAGATCGTGCTGGGCTCCGAGCCCTGCATCGTGTCCGAGTGCATCCCCCTCCCAGTAAAGCAGTGACGCGGTCCCTCCGCCTGTCTGTGGGCCGCTCCCTCCCGAGCACCTCCCGTGCCCGCTCAGGGGAGCTGGCAGGGGCTGTGGTGGGAGGAGAGGGACTTGGCAGACTGGTGGGAGCGTGCCATGCTGGCCAACTCAGAGCATCGATCGTGTTTGGTCTGCGGGATGCGGGCCCCGAGGCTGTGGGTCACGGAAGCCTCCAGGGTGGTGGGTGGTGGGTGGTGGGTGGACAGGGCACGGACAGCACGATTGCCAGGGATCCGCTCCCCCAGGTGGAGCGTGGCTCCTGTAGTTCCCTCTGTCCCCCTTCCCCTCATAGCAGGTATCATGCCCCTCCTGGCTGCTCCAAACCTGCACATGCAAATTAACCTCCATCTTTGTTGGGTTAACTTGCATACTCACTATGATTGGCTGTGGGTGTAGTGTAGTGATGGTTAATTTGCATGTTTCTCTTTTATTAGGTAAGAAGATTGTGTTTTATTGATTTCAGAGAGGAACGTAGAGGAAGAGAGAGAGAGAAACATCAGTGATGAGAGAGAATCATGGATGGGCTGCTTCCTGCACGCCCCACACTGGGGATGGAGCCCACATCCCAGGCTTGTGCCCTGAATGAGAATCTAATCATGACCTCCTGGTTCACAGGTCGATGCTCAAGCACCGAGCCACATTGGCCGGGCCCCATAAGCTTTAAGTGCTTTATATTTTCCATTTTGTCCAATTAAGCCTTTAAAATTTTTTTTTTAGTTCCACACATCTTTTCACCACAGTTCCACCACATTTTAGCAGCTCCCATTTCAGGGCGCAGCCAGCTAGTGTTTTCTCAGCTTCTCCCACAAACACTGGCACTGGTGTCCTGCAGATGCTGCCGAGCCGAGGGGGCCCCTCCCCTCTCCCCAGTTGGCAGCCCTGCCTGGGCCGCGGAGCTGAGCGCGCTTGGCGACATCTGCCGCGGTTCGAGCCAGGGCCCCACTCGCAGCCACCTGCCCGCCTTTAATTGACTATTGATTTCATTCCCAGCGCCGTCCACGCCTGGCGCCGCGCTCGCACCGAAAGGCTCATGGTGTTACGTTTATTTTCCCCGGACACAGGTTTTTCCCTTCCAGCGGCGACAATTAAACACGATTTAATTAACTCGCCGCTCGCAAACATCTCTTCTCGCCGGCTGACGGCCGAGCCGTTTGGAAGCTGCTGGCGGCTCTCCCACCTTTTATTCGGGGACGACAGGCTGCTGGGAAGAGAGTCCGAGCTCAGCCCGGCCAGCTTCCCCGTCCGGTGTTCCCTAGGGAGTGGGAACCCCAGTCCCCGCGGGTCTTGACGCCGAGTCTGCCGTTGGCACAGCCGAGGGTCTGGGTGGTGATGCCCTCGCTGCTCAGCCATCATCTTCGGCGAGACGTGGAAGGGCCACGTTCCCCTCGTTTCTCGTTTTGACACGACGGGGCAGCACGGTGGGTGAGCACAGCCCGGCAGCATTGAGGCCCACAAAACCCTGGGCGCAGCCGATGGCAGACTGGGGCGTTCCATGGGTAAGGTGACCAGATGTCCCCCTTTTGGCGGGACAGTCCTGATTTTTTTAAAAAAAAAATATATATTTCATTGATTTTCCATAAAGAGGAAGGGAGAGGGATAGAGAGCTAGAAACATCGATGAGAGAGAAACATCAACCAGCCGCCTCCTGCACAACCCCTACCAGGGATGTGCCTGCAACCAATATACATGCCCCTGACCGGAATCGAACCTGGGACCCTTCAGTCCACAGACCGACCCTCTATCCACTGAGCCAAACTGGTTTTGGCAGGACAGTCCCGATTTTTAACAATTTGTCCTGCATCCTGGGACGTCTGGTCACCTTATCCACGGGCCAATGGTCTTCGGCCGGGCTCCCTGAAAGTGATTCTGAGATGGGAATTCGCACACGCTCTCGTGAGGAAGCGAGGAGCGCATCATTGGGCAAAGGACGAAGCTGACCCGTCACCCTGCACGCAGGTCCCAGCAGAGCCTACAGGAAGCATGGCAGCTCCTTCAGACGTCTTCCCAGTTCAGGCGGGGCCTGGCCTTCTGGTCTCCCGCACGCGTTTGCCAGAGCTGTTGTAACCGAGTGCCATCCGAGCGTGGCCAGAGCAGCCGGCCTCTGGGGACCAGGAGTCCAGAGGCAAAGTGCTGGCGGGGCCGCGCTCCCCGGGAACCGGCCGGGCGGATGTGCTTGCCTCTGGCTCCCGGCGGGGTTTGGCCGTCTGCGGAGTCCTGGCTTCCAGATGCGTCATCCAGGCCCAGCGACGCCAGGTGTCCTGCAGCCTGGCAGCGTTTGCTGTGCTAGTTTTCAGATTCAGGATGGAGGTTTCTCGGATTCTTTTCTTCCTCTGGAAACAGCGAGACTCAGAAGCGTCGGAAAAGCATGTTCAGAGCCAAGACCCTGAGTGAGGCAGGGCTGGGGCCAAGGGCTGGCTCCGGGGCTGACCCGCTGGGAGACCAGGGTAAGCCAGGCGGGGTCTCTGCACTTCCGTTTCCTCACCTGTGGAGTGCGGGAGTGTCCTTACTCCCGAGATCCTGCCAAGGACGTTAGAACTAGGGACTAGACGCTGGATGACTGATGTGGGTCTTAGAATGGAAGAAAGGCCTCTTTCTTTCTTTCTTTCTTTCTTTCTTTCTTTCTTTCTTTCTTTCTTTCTTTCTTTCTTTCTTTCTTTTTCTTTCTTTCTTTCTTTCTTCTCTTTCTTTCTCCTTCCTTCCTTCCTTCCTTCCTTCCTTCCTTCCTTCCTTCCTTCCTTCCTTCCTTCCTTTCTTTCTTTCTTTCTTTCTTTCTTTCTTTCTTTCTTTCTTTCTTTCTTTCTTTCTTTCTTTCTTCTTTTTTTCTTTTGCTGTTGACTTTCACACTATTTGAGAAGCACCTGGTAATGACAGCCCACGATTGTTAGCTCCTCCGGTTCAAACAGCCCCTCTGTTCAAACTGAAGGACAAGATGAGCTACTCTCAAGGCTACATTCTTGCATACATACCCTCCTCCCTGCTGGCTTACCACCCAGAGATAATTAGTAGAAAGTTCCCTTCCCCCCTCCTCTCCAAACAAACCTCTTAGGAACTCTTCATAGCGATCACTCTAAGAATGCTTTTGCAGGCGTGGGGAAAATACCCATAAGTCACCTCCTGAGGATATCTACCCCTGACCAACTAACGAACTTCGCAAAGATAACCCCTCCCCCACCCCTGTGTCTTCTCAGTTTCACCCAGCAATGGCAGCAACCCCAACCTCCACCCCCTCTCCTCGTCCAAGGCTTTAAAAGGAAGAGCAGCTCTGCTGGTGTGGTTCAGTGGTTGAGCATCGACCTATGAACCAGGAGGTCATGGTTCGATTCCCGGTCAAGGGCACATGCCTTGGTTGTAGGCTTGATCATCAGTAGGAGGCGGGCAGGATGCAGCCGATCAATGAGTCTCTCATCATTGATGTTTCTCTCTCTCCCTCTCCCTTCATCTCTCTGAATCAATAAAAGTATATTGAAAGCATTTTAAAGGGGAGAGCAGCTTTTTTTGTCCTTTGATTGATTAGCAATGCACTGGCCCTTTCCCTCTGGGGAAAGTAAAAATAAACTTTCTCTCTGGATCTCTCCTTTATGTGTGCATTCTTCCTCAGTCCGTGTCATGGCCCAAAACCCCGAACAGATCTCCTAGGGGCCAGGTTTCCTGTGCTGACCTGACTATATCAGTACACTGAGAGCATGCCATTGTCACTCACTACTAGAGACCCAGTGCACGAAATTTGTGCACAAGTAGGGTCCCAGGCCTGGCTGGTGATCAGAGCTGATCTGTGGGGCAACCAGTGGGTGGGGTTATGGGGGGGAGGCCCTGCTGGCACCCAGCTTGGCTGGTGGCCTGGTGCTTCCCACTTGCTGGCCCTGGCCAGGGGCAGCTCCTGCATTGAGCGCCTGCCCCCTGGTGGTCAGTGTGTGTCATAGCGACCAGACATTCTACCAGTTGTTCGCCATTTGGTCAATTTGCATATTAGGGTTTTATTATATAGGATATCATTACTTAAATGAATTGAAACTCATGGAATGGATACCAACCAGGCTTCTGTGAGTATCATTACATACCTTTGTGTCACTGGGTCAGTGTTTGGGTGGCCTTTGTAGGCAACACTCTGGCCGCTGGGCCAGGAGAGAAAGGCCAGCCTCCTAGGTTTTCCTCAAGGGCCCTGGCGCCGAGTCATAGGTGCCCTTATGACATCACGGCTCTCCCCTTTCATCTCTCCTGCCGCCAGAGCTGAGGCCGGAGAAGCACAGGCCTGAGCGGGCTGGGAACATCTAGCCCCTGACCATGGGTAATTCAGGGCAGACCTGAGGCAGTCTGGCCATCCACCCCAGGTCCCAAGTGCTTAAGGTTTTGTGGGATCCACCAAGCTTTCGCTGAGGGTGGTGCACTGCCCGTGGTCCCCTGGGTGGGGTCTACCCCCCAAATCTGAGGGCCTAGGACAGCCCAGGAAGCCGAGTGTGGGGTTGACTTGGCACCCAGTGCGGCGGGGCGGGGGGGGGGCACCCACTTTTACTTTCCCCCATGGTTCTCTCCCTGGACTCTGACTACAGAATGTTAGGAAGCTTGCACAGTTCCCCGTTACCTTCTGTCAGAGACCATGATAAAGTCACGCTGCTGGGACGGAGCCAGAAGGAGCGAGAGCTAGAGGAAGGGACGGCACCCCCTCCCGTGGGGTTCAGACTGGACTGGGTTGGGGAGAGCTTTGGCTTGGGACCTCTCTGACCCTCGTGGCCTGGAGGGGTGACCCGAAGGTGAACGCCCACGCCATGATTGTCGAGAGACGCCAGTGAGTGAGAGTGGCACTTCTCACCACGACACCAGGGCAGGAGGCACAGAGTCAGGGGGTGCCAGGCCAGGGGGGATGGTGCATGGGCCCCATGCCCAGAGCAGGGGTGAACGAGGACTGGCTGTCCTTCCCCCTCCTCCTCCTCAGGCCGAGCGATGAGGGTCTGGCCAAGGAATGCACTTGTGCCGAGGAGGGGGCCAAATGGGTGAACCCAGAGCCCACGGTACAAGGTGGGGGTTGTGTGTGGGGAATGCAAAGGATTCCAATGTGCAGGAAGACTGGGACTGGAACTGTGTGTGTGTGTGTGTGTGTGTGTGTGTGTGTGGTGTGTGTACATAGAACTTTGTACCAATGTCTTTATTACGGTTTACACTCTTTTAAAAAATATTTTTATTTCAAAGAGAGAGAGGGAGAGAGAGATAGAAACATCCTATCTAATAAAGAGGGAATATGTCCTCAAATTAATCCCCTTTTTAATATGCACGAATTTTGTGCACCGGACCACTAGTCAACGATGAGAATCATTGGCCGGCTGCCTCCTGCACGCCGCACACTGGGGATTAAGTCCTCAAACCGGGCCTGGAGTCAAACCCGGGACCCTTCAGTCCACAGGAGGATGCTCTATCCACGGAGGCACACCATCCAGGGCAGGGGTGTCTGTTGCTAGAGGATGGGGGTGGGGGAGGAGCTTTCCTGGTGCACCTGAGGGCGGAAACATGGGTTTCCTAAGCGTCCCGTTTTCCTTCCCTACAAGCTGCCTCAGAACCCACCAAGAAGGTTAAGATCGTACTGACATCCAAGGCAGAGGCACCTGGGGGAGGGGAGACATCGCAGGAGGAGACACCCAAGGAACTGACACCTCGGAAAGCGACATCTCCGAAGGCCAAAGCGACGGCTCCCAAGGCCAAAGCAACGTCCCCGAAGGCCAAAGCGCCGTCCCCGAAGGCCAAAGCGACGTCTCCCAAGGCCAAAGCGCCGTCCCCGAAGGAGGCATCTCGGGGGGCGACCCCTGGGGAAGGGCGGCCTGAGGCGGCGGCCGTGGCCATCCAGGCCTGGTGGCGGGGCACGCTGGTGCGCCGGACGCTGCTGCTGGCCGCGCTCAGCGCCTGCGTCATCCAGCGCTGGTGGCGGCGGGCGCAGGCGGGCCGGCTGGCGGCGCGGCGCTGGGCAGCGCTGCGGGAGCACACGCTGCGGGAGGGCGCGGCCGTGCGGCTGCAGGCCTGGGTCCGCATGTGGCGCGTCCGCCTGCGCTACAGCCGGCTGCTGCACGCCGCCCGCATCATCCAGCTGTACTGGCGCTGGCACAACTGCCAGACCCGCGGCGTCATCCAGGGCAACTACGACATCAAGGAGAACCAGCTGAACCTCCACCTCGAAATCTCGCTGGGCTCACAGGTTTGCAAAATACACCAGTCCACGCCTCTCCCAATAAAGCAGACGCAGGACCTGTGACGCCGCGTCCCGGCTCCGTCCGGCATCTCCTAACGCAGCTCCCGGCACAGTGGGGGGCAGGGCCCTGGGTGAGGAGGAGGAGGGAGGGCCTGGGGCTGGAGGAGCAGGGCTGGGGTTGATTAGCAATGTCTGCCCTGCGCAGGGCCAACCAGGGACACCCCCTCCCATGGGGTCTGTACCGATGGCACGCTCAGTCATTTTACAGCCCATGCCATCTTTTTTATTTTTTTTTTAAATATATTTTATTGATTTTCCACAGAGAGGAAGGGAGAGAGATAGAGAGAGAAAAAGAGAGGAAGGGAGAAAGAAGGGAGAGAGGAAGGGAGAGAGATAGAAACATTGATGAGAAACATCAACCAGCTGCCTCTTACACACCCCCTATCGGGGATGTGCCTGCAACCAACGTACATGCCCCTGACCGGAATCGAACCTGGGACCTTTCAGTCCGCAGACTGACGCTCTGCCACTGAGCCAAACCGGCTTCGGCCTATGCCATCTTTCACTCACCTCCCCACAATCTTTAACGTAGACTTTTCTTTTTTAATATATTTTATTGATTTTCCACAGAGAGGGAGGGAGAGAGAAAGAGAGAGAGGAAGAGAGGAAGGGAGAAAGAAGGGAGAGAGATAGATAGAAACATTGATGAGAAACATCGACCAGCTTCCTCCTGCACACCCCATACCAGGGATGTGCCTGCAACCAACGTACATGCCCTTGACCGGAATCGAACCCGGGACCTTTCAGTCCACAGGTCGACGCTCTATCCACTGAGCCAATCCGGTTTCGGTTAACATATACTATTTCTAAGTTGTAGTCAAATATACATAGCATAACATTTACCATTTTTATTTTTATTTATTTAAAAAAATATATTTTATTGATTTTGTACAGAGAGGAAGGGAGAGGGATAGAAAGTTAGAACCATCGATGAGAGAGTCATCGACCAGCTGCCTCTTGCACACCCCCTACTGGGGATATGCCCGAAACCAAGGTACATGCCCTTGACCGGAATCGAACCCGGGACCCTTCAGTCCCCAAACCAACGCTCTATCCTTATTGCCGGTTTCAGCAATACTTACCATTTTTAAAAATATGTTTTACATTGATTTTTTGGAGAAGAGAGGGAGGGAGAAGGAAACATCGATGATGAGAGAGAATCATTGATCGGCTGCCTCCTGTGCGCCCCCCAACTGGGGACCGAGCCTGCAACCCAGGCCTGTGCCCAGACCCGGAATGGAACCCTGACTTACTGGGTTCATAGGTCGACGCTCAACCCATGAGCTGCCCGACGTTGACCATTTTAGCCAGGTTAAGCAAACAGCTCGTTGGCATTGGAAGATCCACTTGGTTGTGGACATCAGCAGCGCCATCCATCTCAGGAGGTTATTCGTCCTGCGGCCCTGACACTCCACTGAACACCCTCCGTCCTCCCGCCCCCGCTCCCGGCCCCCTCGCCACTGGCCTTCTCCCTGGGAGACCCACGGATTACAACCTCACGCGGGAGGGCCCGCCAGTGCGTGTCCTTCTGGGACTGACCGTTCCCGCAGCGCAGGGTCTGCACGGCTCGTCCCACTGCGGTCCGTGCCCGCCTCCCTCCCTGCCTTCCTCGGGCGGCCACGTCCGCTGGTGCAGAGGCCGCTTTCTGTCCACCCGTCCCTCCGCGGACGGACACGGGATGCTGCCGTCTCCCGGGCGTGTGAGTCCATGCTGCTGCGAGCACGGGCCTCAGAGACCTCTGAGACGCCATGTTAGGTCCTTAAGGGCCATGGGGGGCAAACTGCCGTTCGCGAGAGCCACATGCGGCTCTTTGGCCCTGAGCGTGGCTCTCCCACAAAATACCACGTGGGGGGCACACACGTACAGTGGGAAGGAAACTTCGTGGCCCATGCGCAGAAGTCGGGTTTTGGCTCTCAACTTTCAATCGTCGTCCTGTTGGCATTTGGCTCTGTTGACTAATAAGTTTGCCGATCACTGCTTAGGGTATGTGCCTAGAAGTGGGTCAGGTAATTCTATTTTTTTAAATATATTTTTTAAAATTGAATTCAGAGAGGATGGGAGAGAGAGAGAAACATCAATGAGAGAGAATCATGGATCAATGCCTCCTGCACGCCCTTTACTGGGGAACCAAGCTCACAACCCAGCCATGTGCCCTGACTGGACCGTGACCTCCTGGTTCACAATGCTCAACCCCTGAGCCGTGCCGGCTGGGTTACCCTACTTTTAGTTTCATGAGGAACTGCTCTGCCCAATTCTGTGGCTCCTGTGCCACTCTCCACTCTGTTGGGGGGCATTTGAAAGGTAAACAGGAAGGAGGAAAGAAAGGAATCGGAGAATGCAGCTCTGGGAAGAGCCATCTGGGCAAGCGTTGGGAATGGCGAGGCGAGAGCCATGCTGCCCGGTGGAACGGTTAATGGCTATGGAGACATGAATGAAATAAAATTAAAAATTCAATTGTTTAGCTGTGCTAGTTGTTGCTGTTAATCCTCACCTGAGAGTATTTTCCTATTGAATTTTTTTAGAGTGAGTGGAAGGGAGGGGGAGAGACAGAGAGAGAAACGTCAGTGTGAGAGAGACACACTGATGGGCTGCCTCCTGCACCTGCCCTGACCGGGCTGGGATGGAGCCTGCCACCGAGATACTTGCCCTTGGCCGGGACCCGAACCCGGGACCCTTCAGCATGTGAGCCGACGCTCCGTCCACGGAGCCAGGCACTGGGCACCCTCACATCCTCCTCTGCCCTGCGTGTCCAGGTGCTGCCCGGTAGGACAGCACAGATGCCGACCCCACAGCCCACGAGCGGGGCTGCGGACGGTGACCAGGGGAGGGCGCCGGGAGCACGCCCGGGTCAGCAGACGTGAGGACGGGGAGACGGGGCGGGACGTCTGGGCTGAGGGTGAGACCACCCAGAAGGGAGAAAGGGCAGGGGTTTGAGGAGGAATCTGCGGGGCAGGAGTCCGGGGGAGGGAGGGAGGGCGGGTGCGGAGGAAGGGAAGGGCCTCAAACTCCTTTCCCACGAGCACCGGGTTCCCGCCTGCCCGCCAGCATGCCCAGTGCCCGCCCCCGAGGCCAGCGCCTGCCCCCCCCCCCCCGCCCCTGCCCCCGTCCTCTGCGGGCGCGGCCCTTTCCTGGGTTCTGGCCAAGGAGGCCTCGGGCGGCGTGTCCCGGCGCCAGGCGGACAGGGGAGCCCGGGGCCGTCCTCCGGGGCGGGGTCCCTCACACCGGGGCGGGCAGGGGCCGGACGGGCCCCGTCACCTGTCGGCACAGACCGGACACGGTTTCCGCTGACGCCGAGTCGGCAGCGCCACTCCTGCTGGTTCCGAGAGGGGCCGGGGGGGCGGAGGGGGCTCGCGGGGCTGTTTTCCCGGGAGAAAAGGCACGGCCCGCGCCCAGCCTCTGCGCGAGTGACCACGAGACGCGGCGGGCTCAGACTTTATGGCCGGCCTTAGGCGCCGGTGACCTCGATGTGGAACTGCAGGTGCGTGGCCGTGGCCAGGCAGTGGCCCCGCAGGAGCGCGCAGGCGCGGCAGCTGCGGCTCTGCCAGTGGCACCGGATCAGGCAGATGGCGCCGAGCACCTGGAGGTAGCGCCAGCGCACGCGCCACATGCGCACCAGCGCCTGCAGCCTGACCGCCGCCCGCTCGCGGAGCGCGAAGCTCACCAGCGCCTCCCGCCGCCGCCGCCGCCGCCGCGCCTCCCGGCGGCGCCGCCACCAGCACTGGATCTGCCAGGCCCGCAGCGCGGCGTGCAGCAGCGCCCGGCGCACCAGCGTGCCGCGCCACCACGCCTGGATCCTCCGGGCCGCCCGCCGGCCGCCGCCGTGCTGCCCAGGGAGCAGAGACCGCTCAGAGGCCCCGCCCGCCGCCGCCCAGGATCTGCTGCAAGGCCCCTGGCCTCCCTCCCCCTGGCCTCCCTGGCCTCCCTCTCCCTCTCCCTCTCCCTCCCGTCTCCCCCTCCCTCTCCCCCTGGCCTCCCTGACCCCCCTGGCCTCCCTCTCCCCCTCCCTCTCCCTCTCCCTCTCCCTCCCGTCTCCCCCTCCCTCTCCCCCTGGCCTCCCTGACCCCCCTGGCCTCCCTCTCCCCCTCCCTCTCCCTCTCCCTGGCCTCCCTGACCTCCCTCCCCATCTCCCTCTTCGTCTCCCTCTCCCTCTCCCCCTCCCTCTCCCTCTCCCCCTCCCTCTCCCTCTCCCTCTCCCTCTCCCCCGCCCTCTCCTCCTCCCTCTCTCCCTCCTTCTTCCCCTCCCTCTCCGTCTCCCCCTCCCCCTCCCTCTCCGTCTCCCTCTCCCCCTCCCTTTCCCTCTCTCTCCCCCCCTCCCTCTCCCCTTCCCTCTCCCTCTCCCTCTCCCTCTCCCTCTCCCTCTCCCTACCTTCCTGTCTCCCTCTCCCTCTCTCTCCCTCTCCCTCTCCGTCTCCCTCTCTCTCCCTCTCTCTCCCTCTCTCAATATATTTTTATTGATTGCAGAGAGGAAGGGAGAGGGAGGAGCAATGATGAGAGAGAATCACTGACCGGCTGCCTCCTACACGCCCCCCACCGGGGACGGAGCCTCCACCGGCCATGGGCCTGATGGGGAGCTGAGCCCTGCTGAGCCACGACCTCCTGGTTCACAGGCCGGTGCTCCAGCCCTGAGCCGACCGGCCGGGCTCCCCATTCACGCGTCCCGCCACGGCCAGGCCCAGACCCGCAGCCCACGCCGCGCAGGGGGGGAGGGCCAGCGCGCGGCCCGAGGCGGCGCTCGGGCCTATGGCCCCGCGGGGAATACCCACCAGCCAGGGGGGCGGCGGCTCCGGCTCTTCCTCCTCTTCCGGCAACACTATGTACTGGATGTCTTCCTCGTCCGGGACTTGAATGTAGATGGGGTGGCCGTGTTTCTGTCCTCAGAGTGAAAGGGGAGAAGCACATGGGCGCGGGCCTCCCGCTGCCTCCACCTCCCCTCTCCCGAGATCGCTCCCGTCTCTCACACAGAAATAGAGCTTCATGGCGGCCTGCAGATGGTTCACTGGCTT